TGGGAGAGGACTTTGCAGGCAGAAGGAACCAAATGTTCAAAGACCAAGGCAATGCAAGGCATGGGCATGGTCTAGAAAAACGTAGAGAGCGCACTGGAGCTAAAGCATAAATTTTGGCAGGTGTGGGGATGCAGGCCTGGGTAATAACGGAGGACAGGTCACGCAGGACCTTGTTTGCCTGGCCTCAGAAGTTCAGATTCCATACTGCAGCCAACACAGGGCATTGTGCATCAGAGGAGTCCATCAGGGAAATGGACATGATTGGTTGTGGGTATTAGCAAGCCCGCTCTGGCAGCTGCACGGGAAAGAAAAACCAGGAGGTGGAGGGGTGAGGAAGGGTCAGGAGGATGCTGTGATGGTTCAGGAGAGAACCAAGGCAGGGGTGGTGGAATGAGGAGGAAAGTCGCAATAGCATCAGAGGTGGAAGAACTGGCTGGACGTGGTGGCTGGTTGACTGGGAGGGTGAGGGGCAGGAGGAGCCCAGGCCCACACCCTGGTTTCTGGCTTGGGCGTGTGGCTGGGGCTGTTCACCTGGTCCCAAAAGAGACCGGCCCACATGCCTTCCTCCCACCAGTCTCCTCTGCCCCCACCCGGAGAGAACAAGAGAATAATCCTTCGTCAGAGGCTGCCAGGCATGCCTGGGGATGGCTCACTCATTACAGCCCCTGCCCACACCATCTCTCAGCCCTGAGCTTTGGGCTGTCAGTCCTGTAGACATAGGAAGTCCAATAGTGAAGGGCCTGCCCAGGCTGCCCGCTCCTCCCACCTATCATTCCCCTTGACCCAGCCCCCCTGAACACATGCTTTCCTCTCATGATTTCCCACCCCAGGGCCCTCTATTTGCAACATGTAAGGAATCCATCAAGACCCAATTCAAATGCCATCTCCTCCATGAGGTCTGCCCTGAGTCCCCAGCTGGGACTGTGTCTCCCTCCCAGGCCTCTATGGGACCCACGTGTTGTCTTCATCACCCCCTGCCCAAAGAGATGGGGATTGTATGCACTGGATGACAAGAACCCAGAAGACAGTATCTGCCCCAGGCAGTGAAGTGGACAGGAAAGGAGCAAGAAGGCAGAGCCAAGACCCAGTGAAGGGAAGAAGGGCAAGGGGATGGTGAAAAGTCACCTTTGGGCCAGGAGGAACTGGGTGTCAGTGGCAGCCCCACTCTTGCTGCCCACACAATGCACCCAGCCCCATGTAGACCTAATGGTTATTGGCATCTACTTGGGGACTAAACTGCATGAAGCTCTCCAGGCACAGAAGGTCCATTTCCCCAGCCTGCTTGCCCTCTCTTTACTAATCACAGTAGCTCTCTTAGTCATCTAGTGCTGCTGTAACAGAAATACCACAGGTGGACGGCTTTAACAAACAGAGATTTATTCTCTCACAGTCTAGGAGGTTAGAAGTCCGAGCGCAGGGTGCCAGCTCCAGGGGAAGGCTTTCTGTCTCTGTTGGGGGAGGTCCTTGTTGTCAGTCTTCCCTGGTCAAGAACCTTCTCAGCACAGGGACCCCAGGTGCAAAGGATGCGCTATTCTCCTGGCTCTTCTTCCTTGGTGGTATGAGGTCCCCATGTCTCTCTGCTCACATCTCTGTTTTATATCTCAAAAGAGACTGGCTTAAAACACAACCTAACTGCCACTAATCTCACCTCATTAACATCAGAGAGGAAGGATTTACAACACATGGGAAAATCATATCAGATGACAAAATGGTGGACAACCACACAATACTGGGAATCATGGCCTGGCCAAGCTGACAGATATTTTGGGGGGCCACAAGTCAATCTATGACAGTAACCGTGAGCTGAACACACAGAAAGTCACTCCCTTTCCATGCAGATCTCACAAAATTCTCCTTGCTGCCTTCCCGCTGGCCCCCACTGTGCCCCGTCTGGTCACTGATCCTTGCCCAAAGCAAGGAGCCCAGAGGATGTGCCTGGATATCTCCCCAGTGAGATACCAGGGTTTGGTTCACAACCCCTGAGGGTGAGCCAGGCCCCAGGACATCCTTGCTCCAGAGGACACCGGGTGGTGGGGTGTCATGCGGGGTCACTTCTAAAATGGACACAGGGATTCTTCAGAAGAAAAAGTTAGCAGAGAAAAGCAGATTGTGAGTGGAAGTAAAAAAGATCACCGGGTTACGTAGCACATTTGTGGCTGTGTTCTTTCTTTTTTCTGTTATTGCAGGCGGGGAAAGATGCCGAAATATAAAGACAATGAGTATGGGAAGCTTTTCCCTGGAATGAGCAGAGAAACCCCCCAGGTGACGTCCACACTGACCAGGTGGCCTCGGGCAGGTTACTGCTGCACCTATAAAACGGGGATCAAGTGGGTCATCGCAAAGATCATACAGAGAAACCTGTGAAAGCCGGAACTCATCGGGACTGTTTTGTTTTTCCGGGTCTCGCAAGCTTTCCGCCTTTGACAGGGCGCAGTCACCTTTTCTATCTCTCTCTATTTAGCCAGAAATATTTGAGTTTTCCTTCTCTGACGGGTTCTGGATTTCACAGGTTTTATCGTACACATGAAATGCTTAGAACGGGGCCTTGTCACGTAGTGAGAGCCACTGTGCTACCTCTTCTAGGAGGATTAGGATTGCAACAATGTGTGGGTGTGTCGCCGAATCTAATTAAAGGCCCAGCAAGCTTCTGAGTACTTTCATTGTCAGATGGAAAAGGTGAGATCATTAAATCCACTCCAGCCTGGTGCAAACCATCCGCAACTAAGCAGTAATTGAGAAGGCTGCCAAGAAAGGTAATTGAGCACCCTGGATGTTTGTGTTCCTTGCACTCTTGCTCATAATGATAGGGTTTTATACTTAGAGCAGAAAATTACATGCTTTGTAATTTTAATGAAAAGCCATTTGTAATATAAATGAAAATTATGTTCAATTAGGTCATGGGTTGTAAGAAATATTAAATGAGATCGGGAAGAAGAAACAGGATAAAAAATTTCATGGACAGTATGAACCCAACACTATAATGCGAAAGTCCCTACAGGTGTTAAGTACAGCAGGCTTTTTCCCGGATCTAGAGCTAACACTCAGATATATTTAGAGTCATCTGCCATCTGGCCTCTAAAAGGAGCTATGGAACATGAAGTCAGAGGACACTCATGTGGAATGAACAAATGAACAAAAAATACCAGACCACTAGCTGTCAAGTTGACTCCAGCTCGTGGCGACCCCTTGAATTTCAGAGTAGAACTGTGCTCCATAGGGTTTTCAAAGGCTGATTTTTTGGAAGTAGATCCCCAGGCCTTTCTTCTAAGGCACCTCCGGATGGACTCAAACCTCCAACCTTTCAGTTAGCACTTAGGCACATTAACCATTTGCACCCCCCTGGAACTCCTAAATACATACATATATGCACACACACACACACATACACATATGTAACACATATATACAAACGTATATGTGTATTTTGTATCATTATTGTATATTAAGGTTCAGAGGTTTATAGACATTGCAGACATCCAGGGCTGGGCAAGACGGGTTGCAGCTGACAAATACTAAATTGTACAGAAGCAGATAGGGCCCCTAAGGAAGAATTTGCTATAAAGGAGGAAGAGACGGGGAGAGCAAGCCAGGCCTAAAACAAGCCGCATGGGTTTGTAGTGGGTACAACAGCCACAGCACCTGGTACTCAAATGCAGCCCAGCTCAGTCACCTGAGCCCCAGGTAGATACACGAAGGAAAAAAAGGTCTGGGCAGATGAACTGAAAGCGTGGTCTCAAAAACTTCTGTGACACTTTGGAGCCAAGCAACCCCCTCCCCCAAATGGACAGAGTGCAACTGGAAAAGCTCCTTCCCATCGCTGCTCAGAGCAAAGTCTCAGAGCAGTGAAGCTCAGTGTGGCAGACGCCAGCGTTCCGGGTCCCAGCTCAGTGAGCAGCCCTGGCAGCCCCGGCAGACTCTCAGGCACACAGGGAGTCAGGACAGTGGTGGCTGCAGTGCCGGCCCTTGATGGCAACCAAGGCAACATGTCTTGGCCTGGGGCAGCCCTGCCAGTGCCATCGGAGCCAGAGCTGCAGAATCAAGCCTCAGAAGCAGCACAGCTACAGCCCCAGTGCAGCAGGCAGCAATGAGCAGGACCTGAACCACACCCTCTCCCTTCTACCCATTGTCATCCAGTCGATTCCGATTCATAGCGACCCTATAGGATAGAGTAGAACTGCCCTATAGGGTTTCCAAGGAGCGGCTGGTGGATTCGAACTGCTGACATATTGGTTAAGCAGCTGAGCTCTTAAGCACTGCGCCACCAGGGCTCCGTCTCCCTTAGAGACACCGAAATACCTGCGGAAGGAAGGCTACACCATGGATCTGGGGAAGGGCTGAGAACTTGGCCATCGAGGGGTTTGTATTTACTGGCTGGTGAAACCTGGAGTGGCCCAGTGAGAGTAGTAATAAATGATAATAAGTGCCATCTACTGAGTTCTTCCTCTGTGCCAAGGATTTCACAGGCAGTCTTCTATTGCCCACACTGAACAGAGAAACGAAAGCTCAGAGCTTCTGCAGGGAGCAAAGCAGTCATAGAAGTACTGCCTTGTTCTGGAGGGTTGCCCTGTTAGGAGGAGCCTGGACAGCCCTCAGCTGCCTCAAGACTGACGCGGCCCCCAAGTGCCTGTACCCATCCTGTGTGTGGAAAGCCAAGGTGGAGCCAGCAGGACTTCACTCTTGGCAGCGTAGAGGTGGTGAGTTACTCACGGTTCCCACTCACCCAACTCACCGAGTGGACCGTTGGCTGAGCCATGGGCATGCTCCTGGGACACCTGTTTCCAGGGCTGGTCATCTATTCCATGGGGCTCTACTATGCAGTGGTGGTGTCCCGGGCCCTCCTGCGGGGCCAGGAGCAACTCTTCCCCCCACTGCCCCCAAGCCACAATCAAGACTAGAGGTGGTGGCAACAAGTACACGTGGAAGGAGTGGTGAAGGTAGGGGCTTTCTTGATCTTGATCGTTGGGGAGTTCTTCTTCCCGCCTGGAACCAACCAGTTCCCCATGGTGGACTGGAAGGACCCTCGGCAGCCTTTCCAGAACCACAATTCATGGCAGCACGCCACTATTTTTGGGTTCTTCCTGCTCAGTGGCCTGGTGGACCTCATAAGCCAGGTGTGGCTGGCACGGCAGAGCATAAAGCTAGAGCAAGCTGGCACGGTCTTGGCCTTGGCTGTGCTGTTGCTGCAGATGGTGGCCCACATTGAGCACAAGAACGCCCTGGAGATCCGCACACACAGCCTGCTGTTGCTGCCCATCTTCCTGCTGGTCCTGGTGCTCACCACTGAGGTCTGGGTCCCTAGCCAGCCCTCACTCTGGGTGTTCAAGATCTGGTTGCTGCTGGTGTTTGGCTCCTGGATGCTGCAGATGACCTCGATGTTGTATGCTCCACTTTCCAGCCAGCCCTGGCGGGCAGACAGCCCCGAGGACCTCGCCTTCCTCACCATCTTCTTCTGCTGGCACCTGGCCATACAGGCTGCGGTGCTGACCGTCGTCTACGCCCTCTGCAGCCTCTGGCACCGCCGCTGCTCCTCCTGCATAGAGGTCCCGAGTACCAGGTACCAGCCATGCCCCACGGACCCCAGCAGTGAAGAGCTAGAGAAGCTCAGGGTAGAGGCCGTGCTGCAGGATGGGAACATCTAGCTTAAAGACTGTCCTGCCCCTAGCAGTGCTTTGTCTTGTTCCTGTAACGAGCTTCATGAAGATGCCACTGAGTGAGTGGCACCTGGGATCCACAGTTTGGCTTCTCATCTCAGCAGCCATGTTCCTTGTTCTCAAAAAAACCTGGCAGCTCCTAGGATGGCTTTTTATGCTGCTGACCTATCAGCCTTTCTGTCTGTGTCGACTATCTATCTTACTCTGTGGGTTTGGTTTTCAGGCCCCTCTGAAGGGAAGCAGTGCTTCTCCTCTCTGATCATTTCTGGAATCCAGGAGGGGATCCTGGAATGGGGAAGTGAAAGGAGATGAGCATGGATTGGGTGGATAACCAAGTTTCCCCTGCTCCATTCCATACTGCCATTTGGTTGGAAATTCTCCCTTCCTTATCCTTCTTCTTGAAAAGTAGATTATTCTTGAACTTAATCAAAATTTAGGATAAAGCTACTTTAAAAAGTAAGTCAAAGGAGTCCCTGGGTGGTGTAACCAAGTACTAGCTGAAAGATTACTGCTGTGAACCTACCCAGAGACATTTCAAAAGACAGGCCTGGTGATCTGCTTCTGAAAGGTCACAGCCTTGAAAATCCTATGGAGCAGTTCTATTGGGCACACATGGGGTTGCCACGAGTCGGAATGCTATGAGTATTGTGGATAGCAACTTAAAACACAGCAAGGCCACTGGAGTTCTAAATTATCCAGAGATTTTAAAAGTAAGGCAATAATAAACACAAAATTCAGGAAAATGAATCAGGGGTGAGGGAGGAAAGGAGGCAGCAGAATGGAGTATGATGTAGATGTAGGTTATTGATGATGCTTTAGTTCTCAGAACTGGTGGTGGGTTCATGGGTATATCAGTAGGTAAACAAAATAAAAGACCAACCATGGACCAATGATGAGTGGGGCATGAACCAAGGATTACAATTAATCCAGTTCTGTGCATCCGAGGTCCTTTTTTTTTTGTACTTTAGATGAAGGTTTACAGAATAGTTTCTCATTAAACAGTTAGTACACATATTGTTTTATGACAATGGTTAACAACCCCATGGTATGTCAACACTGTCCCTTCTCAATCTTGGGTTCCCTATTACTAGCTTTCCTGTCCCCTCCTGCCTTCTAGTCCTTCTCCCTGGACTGTCGTGCCCCATTAGTCTCGTTTTATTTTATGGAGCTGTCTAATCTTTGGCTGAAGGGTGAAACGCCGGGGTCCATTTAAAGCCATGTGGACTTGGTGTAGGCGGGAATGGGTCTCTTGGGTGGGAAAGGTTGGGTGTATTTGTACCTAAGGCTGGAAGGTTTAATGTGAGGGAAAGGGGGTCTGTGATGGCAGCTGACATCCATGCTCACGTGATTGTGAGGATTTCAGGTGCCTTTATTTTTCTCTGTCCTTTTTGGTTTGGGTTTTTCTCCTGTGTAGGAGAGTGAAGAACTTGTTTTAATAAACAAAACTGACTCCAGTCATTTCAGCCCTGAAGGGAGCAGGGGGTGCCAGAAGTCCTTACACTATCTGTCGGCAGATTCTGGGGGAGGAGAGAGGGGACCAAGGCCTGGGGACAGAGAGCCCAGCGAAGAGTTCCCAGCAGTGTGGCAGCTGAAGCCCACTTAAAGCAAGGTTGTCCACAAAGCTTGTAGGTGGTTACAAGGGGCGAGTGGGTGGTTACCAGGGGTGGGTGGGTGGTTACCAGGGGCAGGTGGGAAAAGGAAGAAGGGGTATTGCTTAAAGAGTACAGAGTTGTTATTAAGGGTGATGAAAACATTTGGAAGCTGATAGTGGTGATGGCTATACATGGCGAATGTAATTAATATCACTGAATTGTACGTGTAAAAATGGTTGAAATGGCAAATGTTTTGTTATATATATATATTTCACCACAATGCAATTTTTTAAACTAAATGTTTTTCAAAGAAGGGATGTCTAATAACTAAGGCTGTAACTGTTTGCTTTGCTGTGATGTAAAAATATCCAGCCTTTTCAGTAAAATCTACTTCTCAAATAAACGTTTTGTGTGAATGATTCTGGGGGAAAACAAAGAAAAAGGTCCAGACCTGGGTTGGAGGTAGCAGAGGGGAAAGAGTCCCCATGAAATATGGGGTACAAATGATGGCAATGCCTCCAAAAGTGCAGGAACCCAGAGCTGAGAAAGAACCTGAGAATATCAGTGCCCTGGGGTTCACAGAAATTCTCAGAAAGTCTCGGAGGGACAAATAAATAACAGCACCAGCTGACAAACAGATTATGTAGGTAAAAATGAAATAGAAAAAAAGCAACTATATAGAAATACATATCCTTTGGTCCAATTGGAGGTACCTCTTCTACTGGCAAGTGTCTGCTTATGTGAGATGAGTAAACACAGCATTTGGGGGTCTGGAGAGGCAGGAAGAAGGGAATGAGGCCAGCCACAAATGTGGAGAAAGCACCACCAAGTAAAATTCCCACTAGTGGAGCTGCTGCAATTCCACAACTGATGGTGTAGCCAAAATGCAGTCATCAGAGAATGGAAAGCTTGAAGTGTAGAGAGGTTTTCCAAGATGGCGGACAAGATGAGCTATAGTTTGAAGATATCACTGAACATCACCTAAAAAGACAGTGTGCCTGGGCATGGAAAATAGCCCCTGGGAGTTCTGTGGCAAGTGGGTACAGCTAGAAAAGGAGAGCAAGGGAAGGGAGGGGGAGTGGGCAGGGGCCTGTGAAACCCATCCTGGATGTTGGGGGACAGAAGATGCCTCATTCTGCCCCAGCAGCTCCAGCGGTTGAAACCAGGCCAGCTGAGCTTGCCCTCCCAGGGGAGCAGGGGCAAGCTGGGGAGAGGTCCAGCACCCCTCCTGACAGGCCCCCACCCTAGGTAGCCTTGGAGGTCTAAATCAGATTTACTTTCAGGAACTCCCTCCATTGACAAGCATATCTCTGCACCTGCTGACTAGAGACCAAAAAATGAACAGGTGGGAAAATAGGAAGAGACAGACAGCTTGTGGCTTTCCAGCTCGTCTCCTGGGGAGGCCAATTGACACCAGTGGGCCCTGTTTACCTTTGGTGGCCCTGCAGACAAGTCGTGGTTCCCTGGGGAGGAATCTCTGATCTGCATATCTGTGTGCTTACCCAGCTCAGCAGGAAGCTGGCCACTGAGGGGTGAGACTCAATGCCAGCAGGGCTTCTCATGTATTTCTGAGACTTCAAAGCACGCTAGCTTCATGACAAAAGAACTCCATTCTCAAATACGATCATTGAGATGTCACCCCACTGTGCTATTTTCCATGGAGTAAAATAATATTTATTCATTGTTTTCTCATCACAAAGGTAATAAAAGTTCATTGGAGAAGCATCTGGAACTCAGACATGTATGAAGAAGAAAATTGAAATCCCTCACAAGCTTACCGTTCATTCATTCGACAAGTGTGTATTACCCTCAGGCCTTCTGATAGCAGATGGTCCTCTGCTCTCGGCTGCAGAGGAGGACAGCACAGGCCGAGCCCCTGCTCACTTGTGTGCCGCTTACATGCTAGGGGCAAACAAACTAGGGCCAATGCAATGAGCATAGACTATGTCAGGTCATGGTAAACGCCATGAAGAAAAATGAACAGGGCAAGGACAGGGAGATGAGTGGGGGGAAGGGGGTTCCATATTCCATATTTCTGAGGGTCAGGTGACATGCCACTCAGAAAGAAACCTCGAGAAATTTTGAATGTTTTTCCTTTGAACATTTTAACTCTACATTAACATTTTTGTTATTTGTTGCAAGTTTTCAGATTTTTTTTTTATTGTGCTTTAGATGAAGGTTTACAGAGCAAATTAGTTTCTCATTAAACAAGTAATACACATATTGTTTTGTGACATTGGTTGCCAACCCCACGATGTGTCAACACTCTCGCCTTCTTCAACTTGGGTTCCCTGTTACCAGCTCTCCTGTCCCCTCCTGCCTTCTCATCCTTGCACCTGGGCTGCTGTGCCCATTTAGACTAGTTTTGTATTCTGGGCCTGTCTAATCTTTGGCTGAAGGGTGAACCTCAGGAGTGACTTCAGTACTG